GCTACTCTGAGGAAAGCAGTTGTAGCAGTTTTATAGGGCGGAGAGCAGCCTGCAGCCTTGTAAAACAAAAAACAAGAGAAGTGTTATCAGGTAATAAATAGCACAAGTCACCTTTAGTTTTGTTGCATCATTTCAGATTTAGGGCCTCGTAGCAGTACTAATGAGTGCCATCATAGCCAAGTCCTACTCTGAGGAAAGCAGTTGTAGCAGTTTTATAGGGCGGAGAGCAGCCTGCAGCCTTGTAAAACAAAAAACAAGAGAAGTGTTATCAGGTAATTAAGTGAAAGCACCCACCAAAATCTAAGTTTAGCTTCTCTCTATTTTTATCTTATTTGTTCTTTGGACAAGGCTGCTTGTAGAAATAGCATGTTAGGCTGTTTTGTCGCATTAGCTAGTTCTAGTCAGAGCTCAGTTTTTATTTTTCAGTGGAAAAAGTGTGTGCTTAAGGTTGAATAAAAGACCTGTAGGCAATTATTAGAAGTTCAAAGTATGTGTCTTCGGAATGATCACAGAAATAACCCAAAGAAACTGTGCTAACCTAATGTCAAAATCAACCTAGAATTTGTAATCCATTGGATCAAGTATTAATTAATGACTGAGAACTCATGCTCTCACAATGTTTCCCTAGACTTGTGCAAAACCCCAATTTTTGTAAATATTTCTCTTTACAGAAAGAGTTTCTGATGAACTGCTTGAAGAGAAGGGAAGATCCAGATAGATTGCTCAACATACATATAACTTTGCCTATTTTACAGTTTTTCAGATCTTAAGTACTTGAGGCTTCATGTTCAGTTCTGAAGGCATTTTGTAAAGAAGCGGATGCCAGATAAATTCACAGGAGAAAAATCTTGAAATTTCTGGGAATGTTGTCATGGCATGGAGAAGAGTAATGCTTATAATGCCTGGCCCATTCCTTAGTCAACTGCAGATAAATCATAACCCCTAAAGAACCTGAAGAATGACAGTTTCAAGTGCAGAAGGTGTCATCTTAATCACTGCTGTCACTTCAGAGAGTGGGCCTTGGAGTACTGACCCTCTTAATTCCTTGCTTGGCCTATTTACTGGATCCTGCACTGTTGACAAGTAAATGTTACACTGTTCTGCAATGTCAAAAAATGTTTAATTCATCCCTGTAAATTTCAGTGCTGTATTTACCGTCCTTACCACTTTCCAACTAAAATTTTCAGTAGTTGTCATTTAGTCCCACAAAACAGATGTGAGGAGGTTGAACAACAACTTTCTTTTATAACTAGAAATGTTAGTACCAAAGAGCTGTGGATTCTTTGGACGTAAGAGTTTTGAAGGTGAGGAGTGTAAAATCCAAGGGGAAGACTGGGCTTAACACACTCCTCTTAGTATCTCCAGAACTGTACCTATTTACAGGATGTAGAAAACACCAATTGTAAGATATGTAATTTATTAGTACTATCATGGAAGTGCCATTGAGAGCTAGAAAGCCGTGCTGTTTGGGGATATTTCTTTGGCTTATTAGCTCTTTCAATGCCATTGCATTTTGTAGCTTTGGCTTCAGAAACAGCACTGCTTTGGAAAAAAGCCAACAAAATCCAAATAGTGAAGGAGGTTCTATTGGTTTTTGTGCTGTCTGAACAGCAGAGAAATGTGTATTCAGCTTCAAGCTCTGCCATCAACTTCCTGCATCTCCTCGGGCAAATCTTCCTTTTGACCTATCACCACTTTGATTGCTTAGCTCAAGCTATTATGTAACTAATATTCAGAGGAATGACAGAGAATTCCCTTAGCTGACAAGCTAAAGCTTTGTAAATTTTGAGCACAAGGCTAAAGAGGTATATGTGAGACTGGAAATTGAAAATAAAGTGCACTTTCTGGAACAGAAAAAGTTATAATCAGCTACATCCTGAAGGGGGTATTTGTGGGTTTTTTTGGTTGGTTCCCCCTCCTTCTTGGTTCATCTATTTTTTGAGAGCCATTTGTTTATTGCATGACCACACTGATCTGATGTCATAGTTCCACCCCAGCTGGCAACCAAGCCCCATGTGGCTGCCCCACCAGCAGGATCGGGAGAGAGAATCAGAAGGGTAAAAGCCAGAAAACTGGTGAGTTAAGATAAAGACAGTTTAATAGGGAAACCAAAGCCATGCATACAAGCAAAGAAAACCAAGGAATGAGTTCACTGCTTCCTATGGGCAGGCAGGTGTTTGGCCGTCTCCAGGAGAGCGTGGTCCCATCACATGTAACAGTGATTTGGGAAGACAAATGCCATCACTCCAAATGTCCCCTCCTTCCTCCTTCTTCCCC